CTGAATATATTCAATCGAACATACGAGCGCTCCATCCTCCGAGTTTTTCTCCGACAGAGTTTCCAACTAATGATTCTCTAATCAGTCAAAGTCATTCTAAGTTAGACATAAGTGAACGGCGATGTCCACCGTGCGCCCCACAGCATGGTGAGCGCGGGGGGCGGTGACGTCCGCGTGAATTAATTTGCAATGATAATGCACCAATCTTGCGTCCATTGAACTCTCTCCTTCCTCACCTGCCTAAGCCCGGTGTCAAGGCATAGTCTAGAAGACGGGAGACGGGGGTCGGGCGCAGTGACCGACAAGGATAAACGGCCCGCGTGCGCGGGACACACACGCCTGGTCTGCTCACGGCGGACTGAGATTTCGCCGAAACAAAACAGGGGCGAATCTGATCCAGACCGAGGGCGAGTGGTAATTAAGACAATATTAAGAAGGAGCTATTGCAACCTGACTCCCCACCCAAAGAGGGGGAGCGGGTCATCCCGTCAGTTGGCAGCCGTTCAAGCCACAACTATTGGCCCACTGTGATAGTTTGAATGCGCGTCAAATTGTTTATGGTGGAGAATATGCCCTGAGTGTCGTGGGGAAGAAATTCGCAGGGTCGACCTAATTCCTCTCCATCTCCCAGATACCGGTCCACCGTCCGAACCGGTCTGCCATGCGATGTGGGGACTTGCTGTAGGAGGCTGGCGCGGAGTGAAACTGCGCATAAACGTGCCATTACAGTCTCCATATGTGGCATTTACCAAGGATGTGCGGCCCGTGTAATGCGTTCTGTGACCTGATTGGTACCCCGTGTTGGCCCACCATATCTACTACATAGCCCAACTGTGGACAGCAAACTCGGTCGTAAATGTTGCCATAACCACTAGTAGGTGGACGGCAGAGACCTTACGCCCGCTTATTTATGTTCACTACACTTTCCACCACGCTTATGCTTTCACTTTTCAAAGGCGGTTTCTACAGTGACGATGGTCACTAAGGGGCATCTCGACACATCGTCAGCTTCCAAACTTTAAAACCACCAGTTTTCGGTATGTTGCATCTTAGGGGCTTTGCAAAGTCATCAGCCTGCACTTGCCAGCTGAGCACCATTGCGTAAGGCAAAATAAAACGCTTCTGTCCCGTTCTGCATTCAATCTTTATTAATAAACATTATTTACAAAAAGGTAATGAAATGTTTTCCTAAGATGTCGACCATGAATTTTTTTGTCAAATTACTCGTTTTTATAAGAACGTAAGGTCGTATATGTAGATAACCAAGTTCAGAGCGACTGGGTTTTAATAGTTACGCGAAGACGGCCTCAACCAATCCCGATGCGATCTGTCAAGGGCAGCCCAGGAATTTCTGCAAACTCTCAACAACAAAAGCTCTGGGTCACTTTATTTCGTCCTGTGGGCCGATCCCCCAAGTGTCCCTGCGCAGTTTTCTGAACTAAAGGATTACACACCTTCGAGTTTCGGGACCAAATTTTCCATAATAACTAACTGCAGAGAGTGACCGATCTCATGAAATGTTGACTGAAATTCTGAAATGCGTTTTCGTTTGGGAGAGGTTAATTGGGCGCGGTTGCGATTCTTATTATCTTGCGGCATAATCCTTTAACATTTCGGACTCGGCAGGATGTCTGCTTTTGAATACACTGCTTTTCAATCTCCTGTAGAAACCGAACTGGGTAAAGAATGACTACTTATGTAGCAGGCATTTTCCCATTGATTTTCGATGGTCTTGCAAATTCAAATATATCTTATAATATATAATAAAATTAAATGATTCAAGTATGGACGCGCGTGCTTCTGATTATCAGGCATATGTATTCTAAGGGGCTTTAAATTTTCAGATGCATGTCCAGATTTCGATATGATTAAACGTGTGGCCATGCGTTTAGTTTAGGAACAACAGAAAAGTGAACTCGCCATACGAACTGGATGGAGTGATACTTAGCAGTCTTAAGACTAAAATGAAAAAGTGCTATTTACCTTCAACTTTGTGGGAATCAGGGACTACGAGCTTTCTTGGAAAGAACTCCAACTGCTACACTAAAAGGCGGGAACATGTGCCTACCTGAGTATCTTTAGGCCTTTGTGCAAACCATTGTTCAGTTTAGGAAGGCCGGACGCATGCTTATGTTCAGCCCATCAACTGAGTTTTCTGGTGTCGTGTCATCAAAAACAACATGTTGTGACAAGATTCTTTTGAAGGAATCGCCAGAAATGGGGCTAACTGGGGTCATGTTGGT